CCCCTCTCTTCGTCGTCTCTGCCTCTTTCTTCCACGCCTCTCTCTCTCCCTGCCCTCCTCCCTGCCCTCCTCTTCTCTCGCCGCCTCCCTCACCGCCGCCCTCTCCCACTCCTCCCTGCAGTACCATCCAGATGTCAACAGCGACCCGGGGGCGGCAGACACATTCATTCAGCTCAGTAACGCGTACGAGGTAACGAGCTGCTGTCGCCACTGCCTGCGCTTGCCTCGTTATAAGCATCCTCCAAGACTGTCAGCGCAGTCTCAATGCTGCTCACTCCACTCCACCCACTCGCCTCGCCTCCACCTGCCGACCCCAACTCCAATGCCACCATCGCCAGTCAGTCTGCATCTCTCCCTACCTGTTGGCCACACGTCACGACCTAGCGTTCACTCGCTCGCACAGCGCACGCAGCACATGTATTTGTGCTCTCCTAGACGGTGCCTACACGCAAGGTGACGGTGCTGCTGCTACGGCCCCTCCCACTTCTCCCCCCCTTAACACCTTCACTGCAACATACTACATAGCCCCTTTCACTCCCCCCCCTCTCCCCACAGCATACCCATTCCATCAGGGTTGGTGCACGAGGAGCAGAGGGCACTGCATGACACCCTACCACTCGCCAGTACACACCCTCCCACTCTGCTCCGCTCCCGCCCTGCTCCCCACCCCGCTTTCCCCCCCCTATCAGGTGTTGGTGCACGAGGAGCAGAGGGCGCTGTACAACCGGTATGGGGCGGCAGCACTGAGCCGCGACTTCACGGCGGGCAGGGAAGTGAAGAGAGTCCCTCCCATCCCTCCTCCCCGCCTTCCCCTCATCAGGTGTTGGTGGACGAGGAGCAGAGGGCGCTGTACGACCGGTATGGGGCGGCAGCACTGAGCCGCGACTTCACGGCGGGCAGGGAAGTGAAGAGAGTCCCTCCCATCCCTCCTCCCCCGCCTTCCCCCTCATCAGGTGTTGGTGGACGAGGAGCAGAGGGCGCTGTACGACCGTATGGGGGCGGCAGCACTGAGCCGCGACTCACGGCGGGCAGGGAAGTGAAGAGAGTCCCTCCCATCCCTCCTCCCCCGCCTTCCCCCTCATCAGGTGTTGGTGGACGAGGAGCAGAGGCGCTGTACGACCGGTATGGGGCGGCAGCACTGAGCCGCGACTTCACGGCGGGCAGGGAGGCCAGTGTGCAGCGCAAGGGAGCGGCGTGGGAGGCGTTTGACACGTGGGACGAGTTCCAGCCGTTCCAGCGCAAGTGAGGCAATTGAATGAGGCATGCGTGGGGTGTGGGTGGTGTCAGTGGGTCTTGCTTAATGAGGCATGGGTGGGTGCGGACTGTGGGAGGCCTTTGACACGTGGGACGAGTTCCATGCACCATGGGCAGCATGCCATGCACCCCCTCAACCCCCCCCTGCTGCACAAACTCCTCTGCTGCACGGCAGGACGCGCAAGGGCGACGCCAGGCAGGCAGCGGCAAGCAGGTGGTCGTCAGACAGCGAGAGTGAGAGTGAGAGCGAGGCAGAGGCTCGGGTAGTGGAGGCGGTGACAGGCGATGTGGTGGAGTACCCGCTCTCTGCTGCTGTCAGGGACAGATTCGACGACGGCCGCATCAAAGGTGACCCGCTGCCCTCTCCTGCCCTCTCCTGCCCTCTCCTGCCCTCTCCTGCCCTCTCCTGCCCTCTCTTGCTCTGTCTTACCCTGTCTCTTCTTTCCGTTCTTCCTTCCTTCTTTCTCTGTGTGCATGCAGGCGTTGGCTTTGTGGTTGGCCGCAATAAAGGTGTGCTGCCCTGCCACGCCCCTTACCTCTCCCTCTTCCACTGCCACCCACGGCTTCCTCTGTGCCTCCCTTATGGTCAATTACTTTCTCTGCTGCACATCGCCCTAATCTGCCAGCACATCACCCTAATCTAGCCCCATCTCCCCTCCTTGCCCCTCCAACAGACCGCGGCGACCGCCACAAGCTCCCACCCGAGGTGAGAAGCGCCTGCTTAGTCCGTGCAGCAAGTGCGTCAAGTGTTTGTTCATTCATGCATACGTGCTGCTTCTCTTCCATGCCCTTTCTCCTTTAATACTTGCCACGCGCCTTTCTCTTCTCTGTCATTTTCCCGCCTCACCTTTCCAGCCTATATAGCTGGTAGGGACACAGCTGCTGAAGCACAAGCAGGGAAAGGCGTGCCCTTTCGTGCCACAGCTTTGACTGCCCTCATCTCTCAGCTCTCCATTTCTCTCTGCTTTGCCGGTCGCTGGACCTTTCCTTACCCCTTCAAACAACTCCAATGTCTGCCAGAATCTGGGGCAGGTGGAGATGAACCGCTGTTGCTCTCCCTCAGCTTCTCTCTTTCTCCCTGCATCTCCTGCAATCAGGCCTTTCATACCTCGTGTCTCCCTGCTCGCCCATGCTGCCAGAATCTGGGGCTGGTGGAGATAAACCGCTGTTGCTCTCCCTCAGCTTCTCTCTTTCTCCCTGCATCTCCTGCAATCAGGCCTTTCATACCTCGTGTCTCCCTGCTCGCCCATGCTGCCAGAATCTGGGGCTGGTGGAGATAAACCGCTGTTGCTCTCCCTCAGCTTCTCTCTTTCTCCCTGCATCTCCTGCAATCAGGCCTTTCATACCTCGTGTCTCCCTGCTCGCCCATGCTGCCAGAATCTGGGGCTGGTGGAGATAAACCGCTGTTGCTCTCCCTCAGCTTCTCTCTTTCTCCCTGCATCTCCTGCAATCAGGCCTTTCATACCTCGTGTCTCCCTGCTCGCCCATGCTGCCAGAATCTGGGGCTGGTGGAGATAAACCGCTGTTGCTCTCCCTCAGCTTCTCTCTTTCTCCCTGCATCTCCTGCAATCAGGCCTTTCATACCTCGTGTCTCCCTGCTCGCCCATGCTGCCAGAATCTGGGGCTGGTGGAGATAAACCGCTGTTGCTCTCCCTCAGCTTCTCTCTTTCTCCCTGCATCTCCTGCAATCAGGCCTTTCATACCTCGTGTCTCCCTGCTCGCCCATGCTGCCAGAATCTGGGGCTGGTGGAGATAAACCGCTGTTGCTCTCCCTCAGCTTCTCTCTTTCTCCCTGCATCTCCTGCAATCAGGCCTTTCATACCTCGTGTCTCCCTGCTCGCCCATGCTGCCAGAATCTGGGGCTGGTGGAGATAAACCGCTGTTGCTCTCCCTCAGCTTCTCTCTTTCTCCCTGCATCTCCTGCAATCAGGCCTTTCATACCTCGTGTCTCCCTGCTCGCCCATGCTGCCAGAATCTGGGGCTGGTGGAGATAAACCGCTGTTGCTCTCCCTCAGCTTCTCTCTTTCTCCCTGCATCTCCTGCAATCAGGCCTTTCATACCTCGTGTCTCCCTGCTCGCCCATGCTGCCAGAATCTGGGGCTGGTGGAGATAAACCGCTGTTGCTCTCCCTCAGCTTCTCTCTTTCTCCCTGCATCTCCTGCAATCAGGCCTTTCATACCTCGTGTCTCCCTGCTCGCCCATGCTGCCAGAATCTGGGGCTGGTGGAGATAAACCGCTGTTGCTCTCCCTCAGCTTCTCTCTTTCTCCCTGCATCTCCTGCAATCAGGCCTTTCATACCTCGTGTCTCCCTGCTCGCCCATGCTGCCAGAATCTGGGGCTGGTGGAGATAAACCGCTGTTGCTCTCCCTCAGCTTCTCTCTTTCTCCCTGCATCTCCTGCAATCAGGCCTTTCATACCTCGTGTCTCCCTGCTCGCCCATGCTGCCAGAATCTGGGGCTGGTGGAGATAAACCGCTGTTGCTCTCCCTCAGCTTCTCTCTTTCTCCCTGCATCTCCTGCAATCAGGCCTTTCATACCTCGTGTCTCCCTGCTCGCCCATGCTGCCAGAATCTGGGGCTGGTGGAGATAAACCGCTGTTGCTCTCCCTCAGCTTCTCTCTTTCTCCCTGCATCTCCTGCAATCAGGCCTTTCATACCTCGTGTCTCCCTGCTCGCCCATGCTGCCAGAATCTGGGGCTGGTGGAGATAAACCGCTGTTGCTCTCCCTCAGCTTCTCTCTTTCTCCCTGCATCTCCTGCAATCAGGCCTTTCATACCTCGTGTCTCCCTGCTCGCCCATGCTGCCAGAATCTGGGGCTGGTGGAGATAAACCGCTGTTGCTCTCCCTCAGCTTCTCTCTTTCTCCCTGCATCTCCTGCAATCAGGCCTTTCATACCTCGTGTCTCCCTGCTCGCCCATGCTGCCAGAATCTGGGGCTGGTGGAGATAAACCGCTGTTGCTCTCCCTCAGCTTCTCTCTTTCTCCCTGCATCTCCTGCAATCAGGCCTTTCATACCTCGTGTCTCCCTGCTCGCCCATGCTGCCAGAATCTGGGGCTGGTGGAGATAAACCGCTGTTGCTCTCCCTCAGCTTCTCTCTTTCTCCCTGCATCTCCTGCAATCAGGCCTTTCATACCTCGTGTCTCCCTGCTCGCCCATGCTGCCAGAATCTGGGGCTGGTGGAGATAAACCGCTGTTGCTCTCCCTCAGCTTCTCTCTTTCTCCCTGCATCTCCTGCAATCAGGCCTTTCATACCTCGTGTCTCCCTGCTCGCCCATGCTGCCAGAATCTGGGGCTGGTGGAGATAAACCGCTGTTGCTCTCCCTCAGCTTCTCTCTTTCTCCCTGCATCTCCTGCAATCAGGCCTTTCATACCTCGTGTCTCCCTGCTCGCCCATGCTGCCAGAATCTGGGGCTGGTGGAGATAAACCGCTGTTGCTCTCCCTCAGCTTCTCTCTTTCTCCCTGCATCTCCTGCAATCAGGCCTTTCATACCTCGTGTCTCCCTGCTCGCCCATGCTGCCAGAATCTGGGGCTGGTGGAGATAAACCGCTGTTGCTCTCCCTCAGCTTCTCTCTTTCTCCCTGCATCTCCTGCAATCAGGCCTTTCATACCTCGTGTCTCCCTGCTCGCCCATGCTGCCAGAATCTGGGGCTGGTGGAGATAAACCGCTGTTGCTCTCCCTCAGCTTCTCTCTTTCTCCCTGCATCTCCTGCAATCAGGCCTTTCATACCTCGTGTCTCCCTGCTCGCCCATGCTGCCAGAATCTGGGGCTGGTGGAGATAAACCGCTGTTGCTCTCCCTCAGCTTCTCTCTTTCTCCCTGCATCTCCTGCAATCAGGCCTTTCATACCTCGTGTCTCCCTGCTCGCCCATGCTGCCAGAATCTGGGGCTGGTGGAGATAAACCGCTGTTGCTCTCCCTCAGCTTCTCTCTTTCTCCCTGCATCTCCTGCAATCAGGCCTTTCATACCTCGTGTCTCCCTGCTCGCCCATGCTGCCAGAATCTGGGGCTGGTGGAGATAAACCGCTGTTGCTCTCCCTCAGCTTCTCTCTTTCTCCCTGCATCTCCTGCAATCAGGCCTTTCATACCTCGTGTCTCCCTGCTCGCCCATGCTGCCAGAATCTGGGGCTGGTGGAGATAAACCGCTGTTGCTCTCCCTCAGCTTCTCTCTTTCTCCCTGCATCTCCTGCAATCAGGCCTTTCATACCTCGTGTCTCCCTGCTCGCCCATGCTGCCAGAATCTGGGGCTGGTGGAGATAAACCGCTGTTGCTCTCCCTCAGCTTCTCTCTTTCTCCCTGCATCTCCTGCAATCAGGCCTTTCATACCTCGTGTCTCCCTGCTCGCCCATGCTGCCAGAATCTGGGGCTGGTGGAGATAAACCGCTGTTGCTCTCCCTCAGCTTCTCTCTTTCTCCCTGCATCTCCTGCAATCAGGCCTTTCATACCTCGTGTCTCCCTGCTCGCCCATGCTGCCAGAATCTGGGGCTGGTGGAGATAAACCGCTGTTGCTCTCCCTCAGCTTCTCTCTTTCTCCCTGCATCTCCTGCAATCAGGCCTTTCATACCTCGTGTCTCCCTGCTCGCCCATGCTGCCAGAATCTGGGGCTGGTGGAGATAAACCGCTGTTGCTCTCCCTCAGCTTCTCTCTTTCTCCCTGCATCTCCTGCAATCAGGCCTTTCATACCTCGTGTCTCCCTGCTCGCCCATGCTGCCAGAATCTGGGGCTGGTGGAGATAAACCGCTGTTGCTCTCCCTCAGCTTCTCTCTTTCTCCCTGCATCTCCTGCAATCAGGCCTTTCATACCTCGTGTCTCCCTGCTCGCCCATGCTGCCAGAATCTGGGGCTGGTGGAGATAAACCGCTGTTGCTCTCCCTCAGCTTCTCTCTTTCTCCCTGCATCTCCTGCAATCAGGCCTTTCATACCTCGTGTCTCCCTGCTCGCCCATGCTGCCAGAATCTGGGGCTGGTGGAGATAAACCGCTGTTGCTCTCCCTCAGCTTCTCTCTTTCTCCCTGCATCTCCTGCAATCAGGCCTTTCATACCTCGTGTCTCCCTGCTCGCCCATGCTGCCAGAATCTGGGGCTGGTGGAGATAAACCGCTGTTGCTCTCCCTCAGCTTCTCTCTTTCTCCCTGCATCTCCTGCAATCAGGCCTTTCATACCTCGTGTCTCCCTGCTCGCCCATGCTGCCAGAATCTGGGGCTGGTGGAGATAAACCGCTGTTGCTCTCCCTCAGCTTCTCTCTTTCTCCCTGCATCTCCTGCAATCAGGCCTTTCATACCTCGTGTCTCCCTGCTCGCCCATGCTGCCAGAATCTGGGGCTGGTGGAGATAAACCGCTGTTGCTCTCCCTCAGCTTCTCTCTTTCTCCCTGCATCTCCTGCAATCAGGCCTTTCATACCTCGTGTCTCCCTGCTCGCCCATGCTGCCAGAATCTGGGGCTGGTGGAGATAAACCGCTGTTGCTCTCCCTCAGCTTCTCTCTTTCTCCCTGCATCTCCTGCAATCAGGCCTTTCATACCTCGTGTCTCCCTGCTCGCCCATGCTGCCAGAATCTGGGGCTGGTGGAGATAAACCGCTGTTGCTCTCCCTCAGCTTCTCTCTTTCTCCCTGCATCTCCTGCAATCAGGCCTTTCATACCTCGTGTCTCCCTGCTCGCCCATGCTGCCAGAATCTGGGGCTGGTGGAGATAAACCGCTGTTGCTCTCCCTCAGCT